AAATACTAGTTGTTATAAAACACGATTTTTTTTTTTTTTGCAAATATGATTGATAAATAGTAATATAGATGTTTTAAAATAATTTAATAAAGCTAATAGGAATTCTTTAAATATTTCATATTGCTCTCTCTCTCTCTCTCTCTCTCTCACACACACACACACACACACAAAGGCATTGGCACGTACGATTCACGTAGCAACCTTATAATTACTAGTCGATGTGTACGAGTTTTGTATAAATTTTGTTTTGATTAGTGTACAAGGACTCAAGAATTCCCTGAATCTTTTGAGATATTTCTGATTATGATCGTCTTGTATTCTCAGTTACAAACTTTATTTGATTTTGATGAAACAATATTAATAAACTTTGCAACAAGAAAAACATATGAAAATCGCATAGATAATTTCATAATGTATCCAAATTCCTACGCCTCTCCTGCCAACTGATCGACAGAGAGAGGGATGAATGACGTTAAGCCCAAGCAGCATACCTTTTTTATCTTGTTCCCTACAAGATTAACATGATATGAATCCTTAAACAAGTCTTTCTGGCAGAAGATTGAGGGAAAATAGAAAGAAACCTAAACAAGTGCATACCTTTTAAAATTAGCCCGCACTCCACTTTTTTTAGTCTGTTCCAACAATTGGAACCAAAGATTAAACATTTCTGTTGCAATGTTAAGCTTTTGCAGAACATTGAGTACCAATGGTGCATTATAATACAGACCATTAGCAACCTGAAAAAAGGAATTGATCATCAAATGCTAGGCCTCATTTTTCAAATGCTTGATAACAAGCAATCCCTCCCTATTAATGACCCGACAAATAAAATAGAGTAAAAAATGAAGCAAACAAGTAGCCATCAATGATAGCAACTACATTCTCAGTTATTCAAATGCATCTAGTTAGTGAACTTCGCGATATAGTAAAAGTATTTAGTGTAGGCAGTATCAAGATTGTTTGAAAACAATCTCATTGGAACAAAAAATAGCATACCCCATATTTTGGAAATCACAATTAATATAGAGCCAGATATAAAAAAAAGGCAATAGAGAGAAAACGTTATTTATTGATGCAGCAATCTAAACCACCAAGAGGTCGACCATCTCCTAGATGAAAGGTTGCACCAGCGTAGGAAACTGATAGATTATATAAGTCTAAAGTTGAAGCACTATCATTTCAATTGTGAGACCATTCACAAATTCCAACCATGAGAGACTACAACCAGGTAAAGAACAGCAATTCACCAAAATCCTTGCTTTCAATTTTTCTACTATCAAATGTAGCCTTACTAACCAGCATATGAGAATAAGATAAGCACTCATAATTTGGGTAAAAGTAAACTATAATCTTAAACAAGACACAAAAAGAGTGAACCCGAAAACCGTAATTTTTCTAGCTTCTGGAAGACGACGAATAACCAAAAGCTCAAGACGCATACATAGATAAAATAAAATAAAATAAAATAATATATTAATGACTTTCGGGGAGGCGTGTAATAGGAACTCCCATAAAAAGAACCAAGGGCCAAAGTATAAAATAAAATAGAATTAACAAACTCGTAAATTGAATCCATATGCATACAGAAAACAGAAGAAAAAAATTACTGTAACCATACTCTCATAAACAAGAACCAAAAGTGCCTCTCTGTTTATGAATATAATATCAAACATATGTAGAAGAAAAGAAACTGAAAAAAAATCTCAAAATACCAATTTAACAATGCAGTTTATACATCATCCACCTAGAAAGCCCATACGCATACATAAGGATGTTCTAAAATTACACAATAAAATAAAATGTATCAGGAATATCAAGATTTGATTTTTAAATGCAGAAAGGGAACAATGTTTCGAAACCCTAACCTTCAAATTGCCAGACATACAACCCCAGAATTAGGAATTGAAGTAGAAATTGAGAGCCTCAATATTTGGGTCTTCCTTGGTATTGAAGGATTTGTTTTGATTTTGGAGAAATAAAAACCATAGGCTGTTTTAATTTGGTTAGGGAAAAAAAGTTGAAATCCGCATAGCGTGAACATGAAATTCAAAATACTAGGGGACATCGACTCACTGAACATTACTCTCTTCAACAAGAATTTCTATGGCTTTGATGTAGAGGGCCTGAAGAGAAAAAGAAAAAAAAAAAACATATTTTACGTGATGGGATGATGGCGCCTATAAAAAAATGCAAAGTTAGCTAGCCAATTTTTTAGCTTTCCCTTTTCAGCTATCCTAGTGTGAGGAGAGAGGTTGGTAGAAGAAATTTCTAGGGTTTGTGCAGGGAAGGAGTGGTTGTGGGTGGAACTGTGAGAAATTACAAGATAATGAATCTTATGCATTGAATGATGTCTGTTA